AATCATTATTATTTTTAATATTATTATTATCACGCAAAAAAATAATTTTGATTAACAAACTGAAAGAAAAAGCCTTCTCGAAAAACTTACTTTCATATGAACATTGAATTACACGAAAAAAAAAGTACTTTCGAAACAACTACTCGTACATGAACATTGAATTATTCTAAAAATACTTTTTCCTATTCAGTTTGTACTCCAAACATTCGTTATAGAATTGAGTCAGATATCATTCACATGATTGATACACAATACAGTATGTGAAAGAGGAATAATTTCTCTTATGTGGAACACTGTCATCCTCAATGGCGGACATCGATGTTTCGGAATAAGACACTTGCCTTATTGCCTCTTATTATAGGATGAAGCACTCAATTGATTCATAACATTACGATTTTATGTCATGAATGAGTTCTGTTAAATCTACTCATGTCATCGATGACAATACGTAATAACATTCAATGGCTTATTTGATTTAATCCCAGCCATAGGAATCTTGTCCAAATTGAAAGAGGTATATTTTTAGGAGAGATTAATATTTGGGAAAGGAGGGTTTTGACTTTCTACTTCTCCAAAAAATGTAGAAAACTTCCAAGGAATGAAAGAAAGCAATTCTTTTCAAATGAACTGTTTATGAGGATGTGTAGATCATGCAAATAAATAACTTTCAGACGAACTGAAAGAAAATGCATTTCTTTTGAAGTTTCCCACATTTTTGTATGAAGATGGAGAAGCAGAAAGCCAAAAACTTTCTTTCCCAAAAATTAATCCCTCCTAAAAATATAACCCTTTCAGTTTAAACCTTGGATATGTTATTGATTTCATGAACAGGGAATTATTGAAGACCTATTATCAGTTAATCGATTTATCTGCATGCAATTAATGTCACTAGCAAAAACATTGAAAAGTATGCTAATAAAAAGCGTTTACATAGAAATAAAAAAGTAAAGTGAAACTTACTTGACCTGAATCAACCATTTTCACCCAGACACAAATCAAAATAGCACAAAGAGTGATTGTTACAATCGTTAAAGAAGCCGCAGTTTTTGTTTGTTCCGAAATCGGTTTTTATCTTGGTAGAGCGCCACAAGGAATGTTTTTAAACTAATTTAAAATAAATATAGGGTTACTATAAGGATTCACTGTGGATTTTTTAGGAATTGTTAGTCAACATAACTATGATAATTTCGGGAATCTCAACTTTCGGAAACAATATCTAGGGTGTTCGGTAAAACCGGTCAAGTTTCATTCATTTTGAAACAGACATAATACAACTTTTTCAAATGGAACACCCTGTATTTTTTCATTTGTATGAAATGTTTCAAAATTTCACGACATTTTTTATCAGAGATATACCATACGATATTTTACGATACGATACGATATTTTACAAATTATACCTAGTTTCAGTAATTGTTGTAATCACAAAAAAATTATTTTCTCACGTTCACTTACTTACGAATAGGATAGGTATTCTAGTACATTGGAAGATATGGTGCAAATGGTCTGTGCTTTGGGGGAAAGTGACAGAAACTGTCTCCTTGCATCTAGGAGTTACAAAGAGAAGTTCCCCGAAAGAAGGGCATTTCAGGCTCTAAAAACAAGATTTGAACGAACTGGTAATGTCAATCACGAGAACTTCGAACGTGTCTGCCCTGTAATAAGTGAAGAGAATACATTTCAAATTGCTCTTCACCTTGTTGAAAATCCCCATGTGAGTACCCGAGACCTGAGCAGGGAATTAGGATTTTCTCAAACCAGCGTGTCTCGCAAGCAAACGAGCAAGCAAATTTCATCCTTACCAGATGCAATTGTTGCAAGAGTAAAGAGGAAGAGATTTTGAAAAATGTATTCAATTTTGCCGATGGGGCTTACAAAAGATCAATCAAGAAAATGATTTTTTCGATTTCGTGTTATTTTCTATGAAGCGACTTTTCATAAAAACGGAACTGTGAATCGGCATAACATGCATTTTGCAATGGAAAACCCCCATTTTGTTCGTTGCCAGTGTCATCAACAGCGTTGGCCACTGAATGTTTGGGGTGGAATTCTTGGATAAGAATTATCGGTCCGTATTTTTTGGATGGGCATCTCACTGGAAGATTATATGTAAGATTTCTTCGGCATTCAGATTTCTTCGAATTCATTGGACGGGGTTCCATATGGAACAAGACTTAGAATGTGGCTACAACACGATGGTGCACCACCACATTTTAAAACTGAGGTACGTGAATACCTCAACGATCATTTCAATAAAAAATTGATAGGTAGGGGTGGGCCTGTGGCGTGGCCACCCAGATCACCTGACCTGACCAAAATGCATTTTTTTATGGGGGTATATCAAACGGATTGTCTACCAAAGTCCTCCAACATCTGTAGAAGACCTGAAACAAAGAATCACTAGAGCTTTCAGGGAAATCCCATAAAATATGATGGAACGTGTAGAGAATTCGTTTGAAAAAAAGACTGACATTATGTGTTGCAGAAAATGGTCGCCATTTTGAACATCTTTTGGACTACTCTATTCAGTAACAAATTTTGGCGTTATTGTTCATATTGAAAAATGTTTGAGTAAGTGAACGTAAATAAATGAATTTTTTGTGTTTACAACAATTAATAAAACTGGGTATAATTTGTGAAATATGTTTTTCGTATTGTATACCTCTGATAAAAAATGTAGTAAAATGTTGAAACATTTCATACAAATTAAAAAATACAGGATGTTCCATTTGAAAAAGTTGAATTATGCCCGTTTGAAAATGAATGAAACTTGACCTGTTTTACTGATCACCCTATATATTGTTTCAGAAAGTTGAGATTCCCGAAATTATCATAGTGATATTGACTAACTATTCCTAAAAAAATCCACTTAATTGCTGTAGACATGAAGGTGGTGAATTAAAAAATATTGTCTGCAAAATAGGTTTTTCTTAGCAATACCCCAATGGAAATTCGAAAACTTTGTACCAGCGATTTCTCCAATCCTCTAAGCAGTTCTGATATGTACTTTCTGGTATGTCTTTGAGCTCTGTCAGCGATTCTGTTTTTATCTCGTCAATCGTTCCAAAACGTCGTCCTTTCATAAGTCTCTTCAATCTTGGGAACAGGAAAAAGTCTCGGGGGAGCAAATCTGGTCAATACGGTGACTGAGGCATGGTTACGGTGTTGTTTTGCATTATCTTGATGCAAACGCCATGCATTGTTTTTCGACAACACCGGATTTTCTTCGTATTGCTTCTCGCAAGCGGCGCATATTGACCATACGACTATGTGGCAAGAATTCCAGATGCACTACGCCACGATATTAAAATGTTTTTCCGTTAAATAGCTGTCGCACCTCTACGAACGACAACCCTCAGAAGTCGAAACTAGTGCGAGCTAAGGACTAACGAGGTCTTATCTTTTAACGAAGAAAACATTATGCAAAACCTTGACATTTGATCGAAATTTGCGTGCTTTTTTTGGTCTTGGCTCTCCTGGGCATGATTCATCATCAGTTATGACCCTTTTAAGCAAATCTGGATCGCCGTTGATGTTATTTAACGATTCCTAAACGATTCTCATGAATATTTGTTTAAACATAATACATACTTGAAATACATCAGAGAGTTTGAATATTTCTTTATATAGATATGGATACGTTTATTAAAAAGTGTTCTATACAGGGTGAGTCAACAAGATTCCTTCGGTCCATTGCTATCAGAGGAAACAATTTTTCGAACTGTTCAATTTTTTTTGTAGTTGTATCGATAAATACTACCTTCAAAATTTATTTTCTCGCATACTGGGTGATTCAGCTGAGCGTGGCCAACCAAAGTTATATTTTTTAAATACAACACCCAGAACACCCAGTATATGAATACGTCATTCGATTCCATATTTTTTTGGGTCTAAGGAATTTTTGTTTTCGAATTTCCATTGGGGTATTGCTAAGTTATTCCAGAAAAACCTATTTTGCAGCCAATATTTTTTTTAATTCACCACCCGCATGTCTACAGCATCGACTATTATCTATTGGTAAATAAATGATGATTTCCTAAAAATAATTAGTCAGAGACAAAGTATGAATTCTACCTTCAATATGTTATTAAAGTTTTTTGACCGTCGCGAGTATGTAGCTGAATTCGAAAAAATCAGCGCGAACAGAATAAACAAATTATTATTTTTATTTTCAAATCATGCAAAATTCATGAAATTTGAGTGATTTCATTCACATATGTATCTATGGTTAAACTATTATACAGGATGTAGATAAAAAGCACACATATACAATTAAACAGATTTTTATGAATCGCTCACAATATAAAGTCAAAATTTTAAACTGTCAGCTAAATATTTTTATAAATGGAACACCCAATATATGAATACGTCATTCGATTCCATATTTTTTTAGCTCTCTAAGGTATTTTTCTTTTCGAATTTCCATTGCGGCATTGCCAAGTTATTCCAGAAAAACCGATTTNATGGGGGTATATCAAATGGATTGTCTACCAAAGTCCTCCAACATCTGTAGAAGACTTGAAACGAAGAATCACTAGAGCTTTCAGGGAAATCCCATAAAATATGATGGAACGTGTAGAGAATTCGTTTGAAAAAAAGACTGACATTATGTGTTGCAGAAAATGGTCGCCATTTTGAACATCTTTTGGACTACTCTATTCAGTAACAAATTTTGGCGTTATTGTTCATATTGAAAAATGTTTGAGTAAGTGAACGTAAATAAATGAATTTTTTGTGTTTACAACAATTAATAAAACTGGGTATAATTTGTGAAATATGTTTTTCGTATTGTATACCTCTGATAAAAAATGTAGTAAAATGTTGAAACATTTCATACAAATTAAAAAATACAGGATGTTCCATTTGAAAAAGTTGAATTATGCCCGTTTGAAAATGAATGAAACTTGACCTGTTTTACTGATCACCCTATATATTGTTTCAGAAAGTTGAGATTCCCGAAATTATCATAGTGATATTGACTAACTATTCCTAAAAAAATCCACTTAATTGCTGTAGACATGAAGGTGGTGAATTAAAAAATATTGTCTGCAAAATAGGTTTTTCTTAGCAATACCCCAATGGAAATTCGAAAACAAAAATTCCTTAGAAAGATAAAAAAATGTGGACTCGAATGACGTATTCAAATACTGGGTGTTCTATTTAAGAAATATAACTTTGCTTGGTCACGCTCAGCTGAATCACCCAGTATGCCAGAAAATAATTTTTAAAGGTAGTATTTATCGATATGACTGCAAAAAAACAGTTCGAAAAATTGTTTCCTCTGATAGCAATGGACCGAGGGAATCTTGTTGACTCACCCTGTATAGAACACTTTTTAATAAACGTATCCATATCTATATAAAGAAATATTCAAACTCTCTGATGTATTTCAAGTATGTATTATGTTTAAACAAATATTATGTGAGATGCGCAAATAATAATTTGTGAAGTTTCACCTTGCACCTGAGCAGCTGAAACAGGTATTCAAAAATACAGGCAGAAGGTTTTGATACAGGGGTACTATTTATCTGATAAACAATGAAAACTTAAAAAAAATTGTATAAATGGTTATTGTAGCGATATGGTTGTAAATTAGAAGTTATTTCTCATTTCTGCTTAAGGAAGCTGTTGTATAGCCGGGTATTTGTCTTGAATAAACTAATTCAGTAAGTTTGTTTTCAACTGTACGGGGTGAAAACAATTTAGAGCAGTTCCCTACATAGGAGGTCCGTTCAATAAATAAGGTGAACGTTTAAATTTCGCGGCTTCGTACATTCGATTAGCGATTTTTTTTGTTTTTTTATGTTGATACATTCGTCTCGAACATATGTTCATAGTTTCGGCTGTTAAGCATGTGCAGTTTGTTGGTGAGAGGCATAAAAGTTAGAAGTGTTTTGCGTTTTCGGTGAATTACGGCTATCGAAAAAATTGGATCTAAAAATTTACATCAAATTTTGTGTAAAAAAATTTAATAGAAAGCTCAAAAAACCTTGAAATGTTGACAGTGGCATACGATGATTGTTCTCGGAGTCAGAAAAATGTTTACAAGCGGTATATGCTTTTTACAGAAGGCCGAGAAAGTATGAATGACGACGCTCTCCTTGGACGCCCCAGCACATCAACAACCGATGAAAATGTTAAG